TAGCGGCAAAAGTTGGACATTTCCAAACACTTCCGCTACCCGTAAAATGGGGTGAATAGCAACTTCGTGGCGAATAGAAACAAAAAAAGTAAAAGTTATTTGCAACGCTATAACAAATTAATGATACGCGTGATTTTCTGTGTAACACATACAAACTCGTTCCTGATATATAGGCAACTCATCATACACAAGCCGAAATAATTTCAATGTTACCGCAGTACATTGTGCATGCGCTAAACCACGTGCGTTGGTGTCTCTTTGTCTGTACTTCCATAAACTTGACTCCGTTTGTGCATAAGGGAAGAGGTAAGATACACATTATTAGCACCATGAAATGCCTTATGTTTGCTGTTTATGATGTATAATTAACTTTAACTGTGCCTGATAAACTTTTTAATTTATTGACAAAAGTATGCAATAAGTTATAATTTAAGGTTAAAGTGGGGTGAAAAGAAACAGTGTTTCGATTCACCTTTACTGTTTCCATTCACCCCACAAATTGTTTTGTTATATAGTTGTTGCTTTCACTTTAGCATGAAAATGATATACGAGGTAGGTACCTAACCCCTTATTATTTTTAAATTACAGGATCATCAGTTGGATATGCCTCGAGTATATAAAAAAGATCCACGAGGAAAAGTTAATAAAAAAATAGATTCCGATGCGCTTGCTAGGGCGCTTCGCGATATAAAAGATGGGATGTCATATCGGACAGCAGCTTATACTTATGGAATACATTATTCTGTATTATTTAGACATAAACATAATCCTGAAATTAGGAAAAAAGGAGGTCAAACTCAACTGAGTAAAACCGAAGAGAACGCATTGATTCAAGTTCTTGAAGTTTGTTCTGAATGGGGATATCCACTGGATCATTATGATCTCCGAAAGATTGTTAAACAATATTTAGACTCAAGAGGTAAGCGATTGCTCCGATTTAAAGATAACATGCCAGGAAGGGAATTTGCATTTTCCTTCATGAAAAGGCACAAAGATCGTCTCAGGGATCGTGTTTGCCAAAATATCAAGCGTTCTCGAGCAGCAGTGTCCTCTGTGATCTTGAATAATTATTTTAACAATTTAGAAAAAGAATTGGAGGGAGTGCCGCCATCACATACAGTTAATTTCGATGAAACTAACTTATCAGACGATCCCGGGCGGAAAAAAGTAATATCCAAGAGAGGTTGTCGGTATCCCGAAAGGATAATGAACACAAGTAAAAGTGCTACATCTATCATGTTCGCTGCTGCTGGTGACGGGAAATTACTTCCATGTTACGTGGTCTACAAGGCGCAAAATTTATATGACTCTTGGACAGTTGGGGGACCAAAAGGAACCAGATACAATAGAAGTAACAGCGGTTGGTTCGAGTCAGCCAGCTTTGAAGATTGGGTGGAGAAAATTGCAATTCCTTACCTTAAAAAATTGGATGGGAAAAAAATTTTGATAGGGGATAATTTATCCTCCCACTTCTCCCCAAAAACTATTAGACTTTGTATGGAATACAACATTCATTTTGTGTTTCTCCCACCCAATTCTACACACATGACGCAACCATTGGACGTAGCTTTTTTTCGCCCACTAAAAACTGCATGGAGAAATGTGCTATTATCTTGGAAAAAAGGAGAGGGACAAAAAAAATGCTCCATTCCAAAGGACAAGTTTCCCCATCTTTTGAAAAACCTACTCGAAGAAATTCATTCTTCTTCAGAAAGTAATATAAAGTCAGGATTCAGGAAATGTGGTGTGTGTCCTATAAATAGGCAAGAGGTATTGAGCCGACTTCCCGAGGATGTTGAAGAGGAAGATGTGACGAACATGTTAATGATACAGTTGTCTCATACCTAAAGTCGTTAAGGTATGGCGACGGAGCATCCGCGTGTCGAAACAAGAAGAAGAAAATTCAAATAGAAGCAGGTAAAAGTGTCTGGTGCAGATTGTGAGTCCAGTGAAAACGACAGTTCAAACATGTCAATAGAAGACAACGATGAAGGTAGTGACAATGAAACTGTCTTCGATGAGGAATATGAGGATCTGCAAATTGATACCCACACGGTTCCTAACAAGAACAGTACGGGTGAGAAAAATTCTCAGTTAAAGAAGAATGGAAAAACATTTGACAACGTCTTTCACATCGACGTGGAAAATATTGTGCCTGAAATGTGGCTTCTTGTAAGCTTTGCAATTGAAGGTTCAAAAAGCCAAAAATATAAATATTACGTAGGAAAAGTGCTGTCTTGTGAGGAAGGTGCAATTGAGGCTACCTTTTTGAGATCAAAAACCTCAAGTAAAACTGACAGAGAAATCTTTTTTTTTCCTTCTAACCCAGATGTGTGTACGTTCAGTCACGACCAAATTATTGGGCAGGTGTATCCGCTTCAAGAAACTGGTTTCAAACGAAGGGAGAATATTATTTTTGATATTAATATCCATTAAACTCATATGTTTTTATATTTAGGTACTTTAAAGAATGTTTAATGTTTAGTTTTTGTTAATAAATACATAATTTACATAAAGCTTTTGCATTTTTTTTTTGAAACTGAAAAATTTACTTACCCTGTATATATTATTTCGGTTTTTAATATTTCTATTCACCTGTACTGTGTTTGGATAGCAATACATCTGATTTTTTCAATAGTGTTTCTATTCACCCCACTAAAATGACGAATAGAAATAAATAAAAAAAAAAATGATAACTCCATATTCATTTGCAATTTCAAAAATGTAAAATTCGGCATCTTTTGTGAAGAAAGGGACCGGACTTTTCCTACACATATGGTTTTTAATAACGTCTTCCCTTCCAAGTTATAAACTACGAAAGATCAAAAACTGTTTCCATTCACCCCATTTTACGGTACTCAATTTTACACTCTCCGGCTAGTAACAGTAGCCGCTACTGGCCTAGGTCACACTAGACTATTTACTAGCCGCTATCGAGTAGCGAAGCGGAAGTACAGCTTAAATGTGACTGAGGATTTAAACGGAGACATTGCAAAACATGAAGCGTGGACGTGAGCATCTAACAACGTCCCCAACAGCCTTCGTCTAAAGCTCTGATATGTTTTCCTGTTGGTAGCGAGGATCAACAATCGCATTATTCCGCATGTACGCGGTTTGTTATGTGTAATACTGTATATGAGTAGCACTGATTAGAATCTTGCTGTGAACATTTGGAATGCAATTGGGCTGCCACAAATGTGTTATTGATTAATGATAATGTTTAATAGATAGTATCCACGCTGACTTTTTAATCTAGCTAGGGTACCTAAATAACACAAAAAGCGCAGAAGAACTTCTTTCTTCAAGGCAACTATGAAATAACCTCAATATACGATTTTTATCAGCTGGGGGACGTATACAACGTTTGGTTTTCCATTCAATTTCTTCAATTGATGGTTAACGGGATATCATCTCGCATGCCATATAATATTATATATATATAATATATATATATATTATTATATATATATATATATATATATATATATATATATATATATCTTTATTTTCCGTTCTGGTGGGTTTAATCGTTTTTCGCATTTCATTTTTCCCATTTTTGTCGGTTTAATTATAGTTTACTATATCCTGTTTCTCAAGGTACTATCCCCATGTCTAGCATTCATAACCTCTTCCCTAAGGGCCGGTTGTATAGGTGTTGGTTAACCAACAAACTAAAGTTTAAACTAGAGATTTAGAATTTTTACCGTTGTATAGGTTATAGTTACAGTAAAAGTACGGTTTAAACTAAAGAAAGCATTAGTAACTTTAATCCACGGTCGAAGTACCGTTTAAACTCCAGATTACGGATTAGCGCAGTATTTTTACTAGATTTTTACAAACCACGACACATTGTGGAAGTGCACTATTATTTGTTAAAAATGGTTGAGGACATATATGATATATTTCATGACTTAATATCAGATGATGAGGAAAATTTTGTTGATTTGGTTGAAGCGCCTCGAAATATTAGAACATTTAGAGTAAGACCGAATCATATGGAAATGTGGAACAATCAAGAATTTATAAACAGATTTAGAATATCTAAAGGATCAGTCGAGATACTTCTACAGGAAATAGGGCAACACTTAGAACATCCAACAAACCAGTCAGTAGGCATTTAATATAATCATTATGTTTACATGAAAATTTACTTGCAGAAACCATGCCGTTCAGCCGCTGCATCAATTCCTAATTACACTAAGGTTTTATGCCACTTTTGGGGGTATCGATAAATCAACCACCTCTAGAATTATTATGAAGGTATCATCTGTAATTTCTGGTATTGCAAGACAATACATCAAAATGCCTTCAAATGAAAATTTCCGAAGAGTTGCAAATGGCTTTCATAACTTAGCCAGGTTCCCTAATGTTGTTGGAGCTATTGATTGCACCCATATACGGATACACTCTCCAGGTGTGTAACAGTCTCTGACTCCAACTTAAAAATTTCTAATATAGTAGCAAGATGGCCTGGATCTGCTTCCGATAAAACAATTTTACCAACTCTAGAATAAAAGCAGAGTTTGAAGAGGGACGATATAGGAATGGTTTTTTAATTGGAGATTCTGGGTATACGCTTACAAAATATCTTATGATTCCTTTGGCAAATCCAATTACAAGACCTGAACAATTATATAACGAATCTTTAATTCGCACACGGAATGTTGTGGAAAGGCAATATGGTGTCTAGAAGCGTAGGTTTCCAGTTTTACGATTAGAAAGGAGATTAAAATTAGACACTGTGTTAAGCGTCATTATAGCAACTGCAGTTTTGCATAATATTGCAATAGATAACAATGATTTAGAACCAAATAACCAAGACATAATGGCAGAAATCTACGATGTTCCTAACGAGGTGCCATTAGAAAATCCTAATGAGAATGCTCTTACAGTACGAAATGAATTAATAAATAATTGTTTTGCTAATTTAGTTGAAATAATAGAAATTAATACAGTTGTTTTCTTCATTATTAACAATGTTTTATGAAATATACAATGTATTAATCTATTTGTAATGATTTTTGTAAAATTTTCAGCTTCAATTCTTGCTTTTTCTTTTGAAATTCTTTTTCTTGCAGCAACATTTCCATCTTAATCGTGTGTTCCTCCAATTTCATTTCCATTTCCTTTTTGGCAGCATCCCTTTGAATTTCCACTAATTGTAATTTAGCTTCTGATAACATGTTAATTTTTATTCTGCAATCTTCATTTAATTGTGTTTTCTTTAACTTTTTCCGTGGAGTAGCAACTGCTCCTACACAACAGTTTTTCAATTAAAGTAACCACATATATTTGACTCCTACCTGTAGATACAGCTGTGGACACATCTTCCAGCTTGCCTATAACAAATCAATTATTAGTGCCTGTTCCATAACTAATAACAATAACATATGCAAATATGAAACTAGGGCTGAACCAGTTTGATTGTTTCGGTCTTTATTCAATCGAGATGGATTAAGAGGGCAACAATAGTGATATATCTATAATTTATGTGAGGATGGCACATTTGACAAGTACTATAAGTACGGCCTCAAACATACAATAAGAAATTATTTTCTGGGTACTACCTGTACAGGTCGATGGTGTTACTTGTAGTTGCCGAGTAATTGGTGTTCTTAACAACGTAGGATTCCATGAACTCCAATCCATTCCTTCTGTTTCACATTGGTCCTTTGAAATTACAACTGAAATTATTAGTGAATTAAATCTTATAGACTTCATGCATTACTACCTTCATCAATCACTACATTATTTGGTGCAAAATTAAGTGCCTCTGGAAGTATGAAAGGAGTGTCTGCAAGTATAAAGAATTATACATTTTGATTGGTATCATACATCCCATTACCTTCAGTAATTGCAGTATCATTCGCTGTGTAATTATGATCCTGTAACAGTGAACACGGAACTGCATCACTATCGAATACATTGATGAGCCCAGTAACAGAGACTCCTACTATATCTTTGATATCCTTATCTATATCCCTAATTGGAACAGGACTTGCAACACCACCACCAGTCTTGTAGCGTTCACATTTTTCTGCAGCATACTTTTTTCGTGCACCTTTTTTTAAGTTTTCCCATTTTCCTTTTAAATTTTTACAGTACGCTTAATTGGTTTAATGGATAATTCATTAAACTCTATTGCAATTTGTTGCCAAATCTTTTCCTTGTCCTTCCACATCACAGCATCACTTTTTTTGAACTCGATTATGTGCTTATATTTTTTTACTAAGTTTACTAAAGCATCTACCTCTTCATTGCTAAAGTTTCCTAATCTTGAATTTTCTTTGTCTTCCATCACTTTTTTCACTAAATAATTAGGGATACAACTCAAGTAAACAAAACAAGAATAGTGTCTAACCTTAAAATTGTAGTATCCCTAACGTCGAATCAGCTGTAAAAATGCCGCCACATTCGAAATACGTCACGAAAACCGTAACCTATACAACATGACATTTGTAAAGTAGAGTTTAAACTAAGGATAAAACTGTAGATTAAACCCACAAATAAAACTGAAGTTTAAGCGTGAGTTGTACAACCGGCCCTAAGACATATCTGCTACCATCCACATTTAGCTTAGGGTACTCTTGTGAACTTCCTTCAGGGCAACTCCTCCAGGCTTCTCATTTTTGACTTAGAGCTAACCCTTCCATGAAAATAAGAGCAAAGGGGGTGCCACTAGATTTCACTTGCGTGGAAAAAGTGCAAATGTACATGCTGTATTGCTAAATACTGTTTTAACAAATCGTATTTTCTTTCCCTTTGCCCCAATTTATCGGACTGTACAACATGGTACACATAAAATTAATATTATCAATAAAAAACTGTAGAGAAATTGAAATAAATTATTTTACTCAAAAGCGTCCTGAAACTTTTTTCATGCCTACTTTCTGTCAGGAAACTTTAATTTACATGAAGGAGGCAGAGCAGACTACGTTTCCTGCCGCTTGTCACTTTACCGGCCACATTTGTGACATTTCCAAATTTGTTATCACTGACAGATTGACATTAATCAAAAGTTCTATATAAAAATTGAAATTTTATATTAAAATACGATTTCGTGTAAAATTTAATACAAAACTCGTCAGTAAAATGAGATTGCCTGTGTGGGGTCTCGAACTTCAATATTTCCTCACCAGAAATGTATCATTTTCCTGACTTTTGTGTACATAACTATTACAGTATACATATCCGTTAGTATACTACTTTTAGTGTAATGGAGTATCTACGTTAGCAGTGTCGTATCCAGTTTTAACAGACATTTAGACATGCAATAATAAAGTCAGAAAAAATGTATTATATTACGTTGTGTCATAAAAGTACTCCCAGAAAATTCTAGACACGTATTCACTGTCTTGAAGTTATCGGACAGTTAATAAACTTCTTAAAAGAGCACTTTTCAGCAAAACTTGGAAATTCGTATCTCCGCTCTCAAAGGATGAACTATTTTCATTTACTCTTAATTGCAAAAATAATGGCTCATCATTTATAAGTAAATGAGACGAAAGATGGAAAAACAACTTAACCTTCCAAACACGTATAAAAGAAATAAAACCAAAATGTTAAGGCGGGATAATAGCAACGGAACCCTCAGAAAAACGGGACTTCTAAAGTTTGCAAGTGACTGGATGACTTCGTCTGTATGGAAATTGCTTCTTACAGTCGATCGTGACATACCATAGTTATTGAATTTGTATAGAATGTATAATAAGAGGGATTTTCTTTTCAATGGCGGAAAAAACGAAAGCAAAGTGATAAATACCGTTCTATCATATTTCATTGTGAATTAAATCCTTTCGAATTCAAATTTCAGCCGGAAATTGGCGAAAGGAAAGTTTTTATGAGTGTAATAATTTGTAAATCATAATATGGTTATAGATGTTTTCTACATTTTGAAAATGGGTCAGTGCGAAACACAAATAGCTAACATTTCCTTTTAAAGCGACGCTTTGATGAAATATTAGAATGTTTTTTCACCTGGAATAATTTATAGGATCTTAGATTTTTGCCTAACTATACTCAAGTTCATAATGTGTCAAAAACACAATTTCTGTTTAGCTAAATAACTATTTTATTTAGAAACAGAAAAACAAAACATCGACGATTTTCCAGAGCTGCCCTTTTAATTAAGGTGATCGGAACAATAAGAAACACGAAATAAGTTTAGTTTGGCAAACGAACTGCAAACATTTGATCAGATTAAGTTTATAGGACCGTTTCCAATAAATAAAATTTGTCCCACCTACGGCGTGCAGTATTGAGATCTCGATATCTTAAATCTAATCATCGATTTTGTGCTTCCTGTATACGTGCCTTGAATTAGATGCGTAGAATGGAAAGTGATAAACACACGCTGGAGTTAATATATCACANAAAAAGTTGGCACTGCGCATGCGCAAAACCAAATTTTGAAATTGGCGTTTGATTTTCCTTTATCCCAAGTGCCTATGTATCAAATTTCGTTTAAATTCTTCAATAAATAAAAAAGTTGGCACTGCGCATGCGCAAAACCAAATTTTGAAATTGGCGTTTGATTTTCCTTTATCCCAAGTGCCTATGTATCAAATTCGTTTAAATTCTTCCATAAATAAAAAAGTTGGCACTGCGCATGCGCAAAACCAAATTTTGAAATTGGCGTTTGATTTTCCTTTATCCAAGTGCCTATGTATCAAATTTCATTCAAATACTTTTATAAGTAAAAAAGTTTGCAATTCGGTACAAACTGTCGAGATGCGAAAAGGGCACTGTGAATTTTGAATCGATTCGATTCAACTTTTGGCATTGCGTATTATATGGCTAAAGCTATGCCCATATTGAATTTCATGCAATTCAGTTCAATAACTAACGGAGATGTAAAAGCGATCGAACATTTCTAAACAAAGTTATCGTTCACACGGACAGATAGATGGACAGACAGACAAAGGAACAGACGGAGAGATCAACCGGCAGGCGAGAGATAGCAATGCAAAATTATAAACGATCTCTAGGATCGTTAATAAACGGCAAAAGGGTAAAATTATGGAACATGTAAAAAACGGTTTTTTGTTTTTTTTACAATAACTTTTTTTGTAAGCGGTACAGAAAAAATGCCTTCCTTGGTACAAGACTCGACACCATAACGAACCAAATAGCGAAAAAAGTAGAACAATAGCTCTTAAGATAAAAAACTAGTAGCGTCGCAAAGTTAGCGGACGGACGGACAAAGTGGCCACAATAGCGCATTTTTTTTTTATTTTTGTGGAAATGCGCTAAAAAGTATTCTTTATTTAAATTACAGGGATTCGCTACCTGTCAGCATGACAAATGTTTTCTAGTAAAGGGTGATTTAGTAATACTTCTAAGTAATTAAAACAAAATCCTTTTCTTACAATAGGCCGAAAATAATAGGACGAAAGGTTGTATAAAATAATAATAGTTTTTACATTCTGAATTAGGTTACGTATATAAACGCAATTTTGTAATAATAAGGGAAACGTGCTGCTCTGCGCGTTCTGTCCATCCACCCGAGTCCATTTGAAACTATACCTTCTACGAATGTACATTTTTAAAATTTAGTGTTGAAAACGCTTATACGGAGCCCTAGTTTCGAAGTTGAATGTAACGTTTTATATGAAACGCTGGAATGTAAAAATGCAGAATACGTTAGTGTTAGTGAATTACTAGTAGTTTGCGATCGGCAGTGGTTCTTACCATATTGCGTATACGTCGGTATTTTTTAAAACTGAAAAGTAATATCACGCACTGAAATCGTAAATATCTATGAGGATGTAGTCGCGTCCTATGTAATTGAGATTCTTGATAATGCGTTGACTGATGATAAACGAACAGGTATGTTTGAGATTGAAGCTATTGAGCGTTTAAAAATATCACGATTTTTTAAAAATCCGATTTCTATCTCTTTGACATCCAATTTTTTCTCTACGTATTTTGTGAGCTTATTAAAAATTTTACATACGTGTTGACATTCTTAAGCACCTTATTAAATGGCCGAACTTTACGACAATCCTCCAGCACGAACAAACGTGAAACGTGAAGAATAATAATTACCCGCGAATTAGGCTGCCAGCTACGCAAACGGAACTTCTATCTTCAAACTTCGAAAAAACTTAATACTGCCCTGACTTCAAACTAGCTGGCCGTCGCTTCAACACAAATAATCCACGGTGGAAACGGCACGAAGCGAAATAAATTCCTCAACGAAATGTAGGGTAGAGGTGCCAGTTGTGGCCAATGCACCAATTCTGGCCATTTAGCTTAGTTTTTTACCGATATTAACATTATCAGCGTCGGTACGGGAAAAATAACGTGCCAAGTAGACTTCTTGTAGTTTTTGATATTTAGTTCACAATCTTCACAACAGATGGCGCGTAAGAGCATAATATAGAAACCCATCAAAGTTTATCAGTGTACAGTTGTGCTTCTTTCTTAAGACAATCGTTAAGCGAACTCGGTAAGTGTTAGTAATTTTACGTCATACATCTTACCGGTATGTACATAACGATAATTAAAATGTATTCTCATCTAATCAATAATCATGTTTATTATCAAAAATTGGAGGTTATTTAACGGATTTTTTTTTAATATTAGGTGGCCAAAACTAGTACACTTAACTGGCGAAAATTCAGTTATGGCCATAGGAATGGCCAAAAGTGGTGTAATGCAATTCTAGTTTTGACCAGTCTCTTTTTGATCAGAATAAGTACCTAATGTACCTATCTAGATACATACCTGTAAGAGGTATCCTTATTTTTAAGGGAAAATCATTGTGGTGTAGGCGTTTTACAAAAACACATTGGTAGCGTATTTCGCGCTGTTACTCAGATTTTATTCGCAGAGATTATTCCATAGACTTGCGACATGAGATAAGTAATAATCAATTAATAATAAATCAATGGTTTATCCTGCGTAATTTAATTGGAATCGTGAATAGACTATAGGTACTTATACCTTATTACAGGTCTGCGACCTGTTAGGTGCCTATTAATCAGCATGTCTAACTCTAAACGAACCTATGATGAAGAAAATCTTGCCTTAGATGCAATTCGAAATGGTATGCCTGTCTTAACAGCAAGCAAATCTTATAATATTCCACGGACCACATTACGTCATAAAATTGCTGGAGATTCACCGGAAACAATAGCTAGAAGAGGTCCCGATTGCGTTCTAGGAAATCAAATCGAGGACGAAGTCGTCAAGTGGTTGAAGCAAAGTGCGCAAATGGGATTTCCAATTAACAAAGAAGGTCTTTTATTTTCAATTAAGAGAATTGTTAGCGAAAAAGGGGAGAAAACGCCATTT